CCCTTGTCCTTTTTCGTTGTTTCTTTTCGTGTTAAGAATTCGTAACTTTCGTTTTCGTCCAACTCTCCTCGCTCAAATAAACGCCTCGTGACTTTCGTTTCCTTTTCTTCACTTTCACACCCAATAACTCATTAGCCACCTCTCTCCTTCCTATTCACGTAAAACCAATTCACTTTCACACCCAATAACGCATTAGCCACCTCTCTCCTTCCTATTCACGTAAAACCAACAAAAGCTCTCTCACTCTCTCTCTTTAAACTTTAAAAACCCAATAAACCAATTTTCTCTCTCTCCTAACTAAAGTTCCTTTGATCTTTATTTTATTAAAACCATTCTATTTTACCTTTTCTACCCTTTTCCTTTATCTTATTCTATTTTACTCCTTTTCATTTTATTTACTTCAATTTATTTTCCTTATTCTATTTTGTTTTATTTATTTTATTTCACTTATTTTATCCTACTCTACCTTACTCTATTTTATTCTTTTATTTTATTTTATTACCTCATCTTATTTCATTTTATTTTCTTCCATCCCTTTATTTTATTTTACTTCATTTCATTTTATTTATTTCACTTCATTCCATTTTCTAATTTTATTTTAATTCATCTCTTTCATTTTCATTTCATCTCATTCTCTCTATCACTCTAATTTCACCATCACTTTTATTTTCCCTTTCATTTCTTTTTGAAGACCTAGGGAGAGTCGAGCTAGTCTTCACTTCCTTTCTTTCTCTCCATCGCTTGTTTGACCAGAGGCAGGCTGAGCCTTGAGCCGTCGTGCCAGTCTTGTCATCGAGCAGTATAGGTCTAAGTTATCGTGCTCGTCTTGCTACCACGTCAAACTAGCCGTTGTGCCAGACTAGCCGTCCTATCAGTTCTGTCGTCGAGCAGTATTGCCATCGTGCCGGTCTGAGTTGCCGTGCCCGTCTTGCTACCACGTCAGACTTGCCATTGTGTTAGGCTGGTCGGTGTTGATTTTGTTGTCGATTAGTATTGCCGCCATGCCGGTTTGAGCTATCATGCCCGTCTTGCTATCACATCAAGTCAGTCACCGTAATAGTCTAGCCACTGTACCAACCAGGCTACCTAGTCTAACTTCTTCTCTCATTTTCACTTCTTTTATCTCTTTATAGCAAGGCGGGGTCCTATGACCCACACCTCTATATTTTTTATGTGTGTGTATTTGCAAGAAAGGAGAAACAGGTCAAGGGAGGCGATTCCAAACCGGCCATAGGCCAGGGGGCTTTCCAACGTGTCGCGGACCTAGGTGAGGTAAGTCCGGCCTCACGACCCTAATTCATCTCTCACCAGTTGGTACTCATGCCTACGTCTTCTTCACGTAGTTCACGAGATAGCGATATCAGGTCCCGGGTCCATCTCGAACCCGAAACCACGCCACTAGGTCAACCCGACCCTGAGGGCGAGATCGAGGCACCTAACTAGTGTCATGCCAAGTATCATAGTGTTATCTGACTGTCGGATGGCTCTAAGTAAGATTCAAACTCTGCATGATGAAAATTGAATTATCTGTCATAAGGCACTAATTTAGCATGCATGAAATTAATGCACGAGCATGTAACGGTGCTGTGATAATAACCACTACGCAATGGAATACCCATTGGTAGTGGGTATTGTTCTGATATGATACTGCGTTACTGCCGGCTATGCGATGGGACACCCATCAGTAGTGGGGACTGTTATACTGAGAAAAGTGATGCCAGTAATGTTCCTTAACTTGCTGAATTATATGATGGGTTTAGGTGAAAATGAATGGGAGGGTCGCCCCTCCCGAAATTTATATGATGAGACTAGTGAGTGATGCCTTGCAAGGTAAGTGCCTATTGAAAACCCCAATACGCGCTGGGGACTGTGTGCGTGATTATGAGGGCATTATAAAGTGGATTTCCCCACTTGTTATTGCCTTTCCTCCTGAGATACGGTAGAGGTATTAAACAATGGGATTGGCTTAGCATGATGGATAGGGCCCCTACTTTGGAAGTAGGTGAACTAAGGAGTGAGTGGGTAATATTTAAATAATGATTTGTGAATGCTAATTATTGTAATGATTGAATGGCCTATGACATTTGGATATGATGCTTGTAATTGGTACATTGATCTGATTACTGATATACATGATTGTTGCTTGATGACCTCTTATAATTGGAATAATTGTTTATCATGTATGAATAGACTCATTAAATATGCATAGCACTTAGATCTACTTACTGGGCTTTCTAACTCATCCCCCTGCATCTCCCCTCTTGTAGATTGATACCGTCATGTCAAGGGTCAAAAGTTTGTGTTTTGCAGTTGGGAGCTGAAGTCCTTTTGCTTGAGAGCAAATCCATATCTTGTATGTACTTGGGCAATTTAGCCCTAAATTTTGTTTATTTTGGGAAAATGTAACATTTAGGCTTTGGCGCCTTAGACTCAAGTGTAATATATTTGGAAGAAATTTATGTAATGCCTTATTTATAATGTATGGGTTCTCCAAATTTTAATTATTCTCTTGTACTTGAAATTATTGATTTAGTTATTTTCCATGGTTTGCTCCGTTTACCGCATTATTAAAGCGTTGGGTTCACTCTGACCTAAGTGATATACACTACATCGAGATCACGAACCCGCACCTGGTCATCCTCCATCGAGTCCGGAATGGGGGTCGGGGGCGGGGTCGTGACAAGCGATGAGTTACTCTTCTGTAGATTTTGATGAAATTTAAGCATCAACACGATTATTATTTTAAGGGTGTGGTTTCTATAAGGTTGCAACCTTAAAGAATCCAATTAAGGTGCATGTCCAAATTTTGACTTAATATGTAATTTTGGTGTAAAAAATTCTTAAGATTATCTCAAAATCTATTTTCATATCTAATTATAAAATTTTAAACCCAAAAAGCATTAAAATCAAGAAATCTATAAATATATAAAAATCTTGAAAATGGATGGTCTAGATAATGCGTAGCAAGATGTATTATTTCTCGGATTCATAATTTTTTATTTTTTTTCATATCCATACATCTCGATATTGAGATGATCAATTAGAGGGTTTTTCAATATTAAAATAACTTTTTTCGATGGATTTTTGAGATGCATCGGTGGTTGTGCATTTTAAAGTTTCAACCTTACATGAACTTTTTCCTATTTTTAAATACGGTACTAACATAAATATCCCTAACAAGGACATTACACAGTGAAAGGAGGCAGAGATTGGTCAAGGTCAGTGAACCGCATTTCCAGCCTGTTCTTTTCGAAGAAGGGAGGCCCAAGCCCCCGCTCCCCACTTGTTTGACAATCTGTAACTCCTCTCCACACCACTCATTAACATTAGAGAACAATGTCGTGTTAGAGAGGAGAAAAGAAACTCTGCAAATCAATCTCCGACTTCAACAATTCATGGCGGATCCACGTTCATCGAGACCACCACCCCTTGGGGTCTTCTTTACCTCAAAAAGTAAATTGGTGGTCCCTTACTTTCTATTCTCATGAGAGGTTGAAAGTTCATAGTCACAAAATTACTTTATGACTTTGTATTTCCACTGTAACTAGAAAATCCAATTTTCCAATTAAGTGATATAGTAATTAGAAAATCCAATTTTCCACTGTAATTAGAAAATCTAATTTTCCAAGTCATATGGTAAGCTTGCGATTCTAGAGATTGAAAATCCAAAGTCACTTGTGATGTTGGATTAACAATATCCGAGAGTAAGGGCAAAATGATAACAAAAATTTGGACTAGAAAAGAGACATGCGTGTAATATTCAAAATTGAAAAATTATAATTACAATAATTATATTGGATATATAGTTAGTTGCGTCTATGCTGTATTAAAATATAGTAACTACAAACAGATACAATTATTTGAAAATAATATGTGCAAGTATACGGCTCGGATATTTAAAACATTGGACCAACTCTTGTTCACGATATATGTGTGCGAGAACAAGTAGTCCGAGCAATTGAACCCGGGACCGCTTATTTCACTATAAAGATTGAACTTGCTAGCCCATGTACCGCATGTTTAGGCTGTCCAATTTGAACGTCGGACTATCCCAAATATACCTTCCCCGTGAACCTAAGAGCCTTATAGACCCAAAAAAATAAATTTTACATACTGAGCAGCCTCATATTTCCAATATGGCAAATTTGTCAAAAAAGCATTGGACTTACTTAACGAATATCTTTTTATTTTTATATCAATGTGATATCTGAAATCGCATATGACCTTAGAAAAAAAAAAATTTAACTCCCACAATATATATGCCTTAAAAAAAATTGTCATGGCAACCGTTCAATTTTTTAAGGGAATGATATAGATGTTTATAAACCCAAAATGTTTTTTTTTTCTCTTTGAAGCTAATCATTTTAGGTTTATTAAATGGATCCTGAAATTTCAAATAAAAAAAAAATCTCCCCAATATCCTTTGCGAAATAGCTCAAAAGAGTCTACGAGAGACTACTGCTCATCCCAAAATCAAGTCTTTTTTTTTTTTTTTTTTTTTGTTTAGCAATATACCAAAGTCAAAGGCTTTTTAAAGAACATTTTGGAAACTGCATGATGAGAAAGGGATCTTCACGTTCCCCAGCGATGACCACAAATTCAGAGTAAAAAATCGGAACAATAATCTCAAATTTCAGCAGCAAGAAAAAGAACATATAGGGTGGTGTTAGAGAAACCTGTAAACAAAGTTGAGAAGTTTCTTCATTCATGGCAAGACACTGCGCTCTCCCCCAACCATGGGGACAGTTACTTCTTCTTCTCCGACATGTCGCTTTGGCTTCGGGTTCTGGTGAGTCTCTTGGCTAGTAGTACTACTTCTCACTCTCTACTGTAATTTTCATGTAAAATAAAGAAAATGCTTTGCAGATTTCTTGAGCATCGATTGCGGTGCGAGCGGCGTGAGCACGGACCAGAACAACATCGTCTGGGTAGACGATAGCGCATACGTTGTTTTGGGGGAGAACCATGTGGTCCAAGATACCAACTCAGTATCAGAACAGATGGGGACTCTCAGAAGCTTTCCTGAAGGGTTAGTCAAGAACTGCTACACATTTGGGCATGTAACTCAGGGGAGCAAGAACCTGTTGCGTGCCAGCTTCTACTATGGAAACTATGACAGGCGCAACGCACCGCCGACCTTTGATCTCCTCTTGGATGCTGACAAGTGGGCCACGGTAGACACTGCAGATAGCCCGGTCTTCTTCGAGCTCGTGTACACGGCCAAGAGAGATGGGATCAGCGTCTGCCTTGCTCAGACCTCGAAAGACCAGATCCCCTTCATTAACACTTTGGAGATCAGGGGGTTAGACTCGGGCATGTACTCACACATAAGTTCCGAGTATGTTCTCTCCAACAGTCTCAGGCTCGCATTTGGAGCAAACTGTGAGGTATGATAGGAACTCATTAATCACTTCTTTTCTCTTTCAATGTGTGTGTATGTGCTCTTTTAACCGATTCTGGCTCGGACGAGGAACTCGTGCACTGGGCAGTCATCCAAGCTGACTCGCCAAGTCGGCACCGAGAAAATCCAAAACTTCGATAGAAAACCGAAAAGGAAAAATTATAAGCAACATATTTATATGAAAAATAAGAAAAAATTTTGTAAAATAAGAAAAATTTTCAAAAAATAGAAAACTAGTTCTAGAGCATTGTCCAGTAAAATTCTAAAAAGAAATGAGAAAAACTTGTAAAAATAGAGACAATAGCAAAAATCATGAAAAAAAATTCAAAAAGCATATGCATAACTAGTGATAAAATCGAATACAATCGATTATAATTGATATAATAAAGGATTGAATCAAGGAAAAATGTTTATACATAGCAGAGACTCTAAACAATCAAATTAGGGCCCACTTCAAAAATTTTACTAAAAGAGATTGTTTTGATACTCAAATATCCTAAAATTAATAATCTCCACATTAAGATGCATGGACGTGGACATGAGAAAAAAACGGATTTTAAGTTTTTGAAATACTGCATCTTTTAATGCATTTTGGACAGTCAATTTTCAAGATTTTCAAGTTTTCATAGATCTACTCGATCTACACTGTTTTGAAGCTTTAAATTCTATAATTAAAGATGATAATATATTTTAAAACTATTGCAAAGATTTTCAGTAATAAAAACCATAATTCTGAATACTATTTGAAGGTGCGCTTTACTTTGATTATTTAGAGTCGGCTGTATACAAACTTCACCCATCAAGGAATTATAAATATAATAAATTGAAGGCGCGTGTTACTTTGATTAGTTAGAGCCTCAGTTGTATACAAACTGCACCCATCAAGGAATTATAAATATAATAAGTTGGGGGTGTTTCTGCCGAGTCCGAGTCACTTGGGTGCCCGAGTTTTCTTATACTGCTTTTAACAATTGACAATGACTCGAAGAAACCAGACTATCATGTCTATATATTTCTTTCATTACAGGGCTAGTGACGACCCCTATGATCGCATTTGGACACCCTTCAATGTGAGCAATGGTTTAAGCACTGTGACCAGCGAGGCCACGCTCATAACCACCAGTGTCCCTGACGAACCACCGCCTGCAGTAATGCAGACAACGGCCACTTCTGGGAGCGCCACCACCCCTATCGACCTCACTCTCAAACTCTCAGCCTCCTACGCCTATTTAACCATGTATTTCACAGAGCCCATCGAGCTTGAAGCCACACGAAACCGATCCTTCAATATCTATGGAGACGGTAAGCTTCTGTATGGGCCAGTCATCCCGCCTTATGCAAGCACAGTCGAGATTACTGCCCCTAATACTAGTGTCTCTGCAACTACAAAGATCTCATTCGTGCCAACAGCACAATCCACGCTTCCGCCTGTGATCAGTGCCATGGAGGTGTACCTCATCGGTGGGCCTCTCAAGAAAGGGACCAACGAAAATGACTGTATGTGATGAACCTTTCTCTCTCTCCCTCCCCCTCTGTCTCTCTCTCAAATGGGGGAAATGAAAACACATTGAATGTGTGCAAAGGATTTTACCGATCATGTTTGCTTTTTGAGTATTTAGTGAAAGGGTTGAAGGCCTTGCAAAACGAGTTTGAGCAACTTCAAGCATGGGGTGGAGATCCTTGCCTCCCTGCTAACTTCATCTGGGAAAGGGTGGTTTGCACCAAGGATGCATCCCCTCGAATAACTGCCCTGTGAGATCCTCGAAATCCATAGTATAAAGAACCCTATTTTTCTTGATTCCCGTTTATCAATGGCTACCATATAGTTTAAAGGAAGGCACTAATGGCCGCTGATTCTTTCGCAGGAACCTTGAGGACTTCGAACTGAGCGGGAGCCTTCCGGATTTCAGCTCCATGAACGAGCTACAGATTATGTGAGAAAATTGGATAGCATCCTTACAGTTGTTTAAAAATTTCCTATGTTTCATCAGTTAATCCCCTCTTTTTTTTCTTTCTTTTTGTTGCAGAAATTTGAAGAATAACAGCTTAAATGGAAATGTTCCAGATTTTCTAGCCGATTTTCCCAAGCTCAATGAACTGTAAGAGAGGAGGGGAGAGAGAGAGAATTGAAATTGAAGTTTAACTCACATTGAAATTAAACTTTAACTCATCTACTCAGGAATGGAACAAAGTTTTGAATAACAGTATTGTTCTCTTGGAAAAAAAATGCAGCAACTTGGCCGATAACGGTTTTCTCGGAGTGGTGCCTGAATCACTGGTCAAGAACACGCACCTGAAATTGGAGTATGCCACCTCTTTCTTTTCATCTTCTATAACCAATCCTCTCTCTCTCTTTCTCCTTTTAGCTTTCCTAATCCATTCAAGCAAGGTTTTAAAAAACGCATGAGTGAACCGGATCGGCCACCCCAAAAATCGAGTCGAATCGGTGGATCAGCGATCCCGACCTGTGAATCTACTGGTTTCACCTTAAAACAAATTCAAAAAATAAGTAAAAACCCCTGAAATAAGTGTTGTGAGTTTCAAATCAATTTTGAGGTGATGCATGATTTACTTTTCATTATTTTACAAAAATACTGAAGATTGAGGTGGTTTCTTTTTGCCTAGATGTCTAGGTTCTTTTTTCTTCCCTTTTGTTTTAATTTCCGTTGAATGTTAAAAAAAATAAAAATAAAATTAAAAAAAAAAAAGAAAGAGATAGATGTCACATCATCTTAATTTCGTTTGTTGGCAAAGTTTTCTTTACATCATATAAGCTGGCTTTCAAATTAGCTACATGGTGCAAATAAGCTATGGCGTAAAATAATTAAAAACTAGCTAATTTAAAATGACATTGACATTGTAAATTTGCAAAATTAGCTATGACATAAAATAACTGTGGTGTAGATCAACTATGTTTAAACTATGAGGTGGAGAAAATATAGCTAAGTTTACCCCATGTCAATAAACTATATAAATAAAGTAGCTTTAAATATTAACTATATAAATAAAGTAAAAACTATGTAAAATATAGCTATGTAAATTTTCCGAGTATTGTAAATGTCTAGTGTGTAAAATTGCTCCCAAAGGTTTGTAAAATTCTTTTATTTAAAATTGCTCCCAAAGTTTAGTCACAGGTTGAACTGTTGAGGAAAAAAGTGGAAGCATTTGTCCCACATCGAAGAAAAATAAAAGCAGCAAGAGCATGTATAAAACCCTCACGCACAGTGAGGAGGGTGTGGGCCCTGTTCACGTTGATGTGTGTGCATTGGAGTGGTTGGTGATTTTAAGATAAAAAATTATGGGAGCAGGTTCCTTCTTCACAAAAAAAATTCAAAAACTTTTGGGGGTCGGCGATCGTATTTCAATTCCCTTGTTAAAACGACCGTCTTTCAAAAACAATTTTGAAACTTGCCTTGTTAAAACTAAGGTATTTTTTGACATATCCAGCCGATTCCGATTCCGATTTCGATTCTTGATATACAGCCGATGCTGATTCTTGATATATGATGGGAATCGGATTAATTTTGACGATTTTTTATCCAAATCGAGTGATTCCGATCTAGATTGCCGATGCAATAGATTGATTAAAAGAGAGAGAAATGGATGTCATTATGTTAGATGGTTGAGTCTGATATGATCCAATGCAGCGTTTCGGGGAACCCTAATTTGTGTGATTTCGAGGAGTCGTGCGATGGGAGCATCAACGGTAGCAAGAAGAAGAAGAATAGGACGGGTGTGATTGTGGGAGATACCGTTCCATCTTTCTTGTTTTTGTGGGCGGTGGCCGGAGTCGTATTCTTTGTCAACCATAGGAGAAAAGCAGCCGCCTTTGCCGTTATCCATGCTCGTATGCTCCCTTACTTCCCTCTCTCTTTGTTGGCACACTGCTTTATCTTTTCTGCAAAAATAACTTAAAAGATTGAAAAATAAATGCACAATTACCTTATGGTCTATAATTTTGTCAGAATTTACTGTTTTCATTTCATGTTTTTTTAAAAACCATTATATATAGACCCAGAAAAAAAATGTCATATTAGGTGATGCTTTATATTTACTCATTTATTATTTTGAGGTCCATCCCCGCTTGTATATTTTTTTTCCTGTTATACCTCTCAGTCTGATGTTTCCAACATCGCACAGATGATAGTTTTTTTTATTTTTTTCCAATTATAATTTGCCTTTTACGTTTGAATTATAACCAAGTAAGTGGGCCTAAGACAACGGGCCAAACAAGTGTGCCTGGTTCATCAATTGAGAGTTCTTCAAAGAGAGAATAAGAGATGATTTTGAAAGTTAAAACGTGTATAATCAAAGATAGTGTAGATGTCTTTCACATAGTAATGCGACCGTATGAATTGATAGATGTTTTTCACATAAATTTATGGCTGTATGGATTGATTTTTTTACATTGTAATGTGACTATATGGATTGGTAGATATCTTTCACGTAGTAATGTGACTGTATGGGACCGATATGGTGGTATATTACAAACGTGAGAAACTTGTAATTTGGTAATTCTGCATGTGTGACTTTTATCAAAGATAACGGTTATGGATTGTGTGAGCGTTAGTTGCTGACTGCTGCTGTGAACAATTAACAGCTACTGTATGTCTTATCGGCATGACTGATGGTTATACCGTTAAACAATATATCTTCAAGATGTTAGTTATGTCAACATATAACAGATGCCATATGTGTATTGAAAATCAACTGGGTCAAGGTATTCTGATTTTGGCTAAGACGAGTTACTCAGGTAAGTCACAGTAAATTGCCTGAGTCCCACAAGTTTTTTAAAAAACATAAAGACAAAAAAAATAGCTTATATTACATAATTATGTTTTTTTTTTTTTTTTACCAATGTTAGAAATTTATTGCTTAAAAAGAAAATATTACAATGAACTTACATCTATAATTAAAAGCGAAGATAAAGACACCCCCCTTTTGGCTAAGGCATCAACCCATGAGTTTGCTTCCCTATAAACATGTTGATATGACACCGCAAATTCCCCTGCCAAATCAAATATTTCACACCACATTGGTCTAAGGGTCCATGGAATCCGTTGCTGCTTTGAGCACCACTTAATGGCATTCATAGAATCCCCCTCAATCACTCACAATCTGCCTATCTTTTTAGCTTTGAAGAGTTTCAGACCTTGAAGAGGAGCTGCTAACTCAGCATAATCAGCCGTGGCTCTACCCATAGGACCCGAGAAACTGAAAATGACTCTCCCCAAAAAATTTCTCACCACCCCCACAATACCTGCATCTCTTGACTTCTCATAAGGGTTACCATCGAAGTTCAGCTTATAAGAACATGGTAAAGATTGAAGGGCGTGTCGGTTAGATCACCCGCTCATAGGATGCTGTTGAAAGGCAGTGATATGGGGGGTTTTCAAACTCTCACCAACTTGATTAGCCATATTAATATGAATAGGATATATTTCATCGGTGTATAGCAAAACCCTCCTCACCCATTGGGTGGAGACCGAGTAACTCGGCTGAGTAACTCAACCAAGTAGTGGTACATTAGTTGCCAGAAGTTATATCTGCATATGATTAAATTGGTTAGAGTATGAATACTTGTAGTTATCTTATGCGATCACAGTTTTTTATGCGGTAAAATTATGGGAATTCTAATTAAGGAGGTAGCAGGTTTTACAAAATTCAATTTTTAAAAGCTTGGAACACCTGAAAATATAAACTCATTTTACAACGATGATGTTTCTGGTATCAAAGAACCAAAATTATGTTGGATATTTCTCAATGTCCCCGCTATTATAGCCAAATTATAATCAAATAAAAAAAATTATTATCAATTTGATGTTAGAAATACCGGATCGAGAGGAAAAACTGGAAAAAATTGCAGGGATGGGGGTTGGACCTCAGTGTAATATATATGAAAATATAGAGCATCGCGTAATATAGCCTTTTATGTAAATTTCACATTTGTTTACTTCAATTTTTCCGTCGATGTCATAACAACCACTTTTATTTTTATTTTTTATTTTTTGTGAATTCTAGAGCTCTACGATGTCTAAGAAAACGTGACACCTCCTTTTTAGGTGGTCTGAAATTGGAAACATCGAACTAACTTATGTTTCATTGTTAAACATTTATACAGGGTAGTTCGAACCAATCCATACCTAAAACCTTTTTATTATTGTCCGATTTGACCACCCCATAGTACATTTTTCTTTTTCTTTTTCCTTTCAAATATAGAGCAATATGAACCCCAAGTGATATGAAAATTCAAAGTAGTATGATTTAAGTATGGCAAATAAATTTGTTTTCGTTGTATTATAGTCATACCTCTTGTTTCGTTGGAGTAATCAATGAGTTATTGGTGTTAATGATAATTATGATTTGCGTTTTGATATGTTTGGTCAGAGTTATTGATAAGTTTAGGTATTTTATTTTCCATGTGATTTGTGTCTTCATGACAAATAATGTGATATGATAATTTGTATCTTTGACACTTAGGTTCGACTTAACCTAAACCTATTAAGACACCAATCTTGGAAAATAATCACTAAATTTATTGCTAACTCTGACAAAACACATCAAGACACAAACTGCATTCATCATTAACACCAATAGGTCATTGATAGCTTTAGCAAAAGAGAAATAACAGTTATAGAGTAATGGAAACAAATTTATTTGTCTTATTTAAATCCAACTACTCTTTGAATATAAAAAATGACACGGTTTCTATACCGAACTGCGGTTTGGCAATAAATATATTTTTAAATATAATTTGATCTTAATTTTCAGATAAAATATAATTTTTAATATGGAGATCATGAATATGAAAAAAGTAAAAATAAAATTGAAAACTAGAAATAATAATTATATTAAAAAAATATGTGTACCGTTAGTTAGACCACCTATTTGTCTTGCGTAAGTATCTCACCAAGATGGACCACTTAAGTTAGGGCTATTTGTTTGATCCAAATTTTGAAACGTACACTATTTTCATTCTAATGAACCATCACAAAAAGAAAAATTTGAAAACACAACTTAGAAAGTATTTTTTTAGCCCAAATAACATAAGCCACCCATTTGGGTAAGGTACTTAGATCTAGGCCTTAGAAGTATTTTTTTTATTTACCAATTTTTTTAGATCCTTTTGTTATGATTAGATGAACAATGTTAAAGAAGATAAAAATGATTATGAGTTTGTAAATGCTAATATCTTGAAATTCACCAAATGAATGGTTTAGATTCATTGTTGGAGGGGACTCATTTTGACCATATCTAGGATTGAAATTGAACTTTTTTTTTTTAGTTTGATTATTGAGATAAAGAGAGTGTATGTGCAAAATTTTGGGTCATACAAATACCACAAACATGATTTTCTAGAGGTGTCATTGCATTATACTATGATACAACCGTTGTATGAAATCAT